GCTGGCGTCTGACAGCCACTGGGACGCAGCAGGGAGAGTGAAATGAAGCTTCTAGGGACGGTCGACTCCCTCTTCCTCATCTTGCTCTACCCAAGCTGTGAGCCCATTGGCCGGTGTCTCCCACAATCCGAGTCTTCTTCCATTGGTTTGCTGGCCTACACGTCAATCACTTCTGGAAACCCCACACGCCCCTCGAAGTGTGGCTGGGGGATCTCAGTCCCACAGAGCTGCGCATCAAGAGTAATCAGTGAAGGGGTGCAGCTCAAAGCGCAAGGTCAGAGTTCGATCCCTGATACCAGAAAAACCGGGGCCCAGTCCTCCCCTGCAGCCCTTGTGGACAGGGCTTTATTTGGAGAGGAACAGGGTTCGGGTGTGCCATGAGAAGACCGAGGATGCAACCGACGCGCACAGGAAGAAGCTCTGTGCGATGAGAAGCAGAGACAGAGAAAAAGTGACAGCGGGGAACGCCAGGCACTGCCTGACCTCCAGAAGTTGGGCGAAGGGGGAGCAGCTTTGGGGTCGGGGGAGCTTGGATCCTGGTCTCTGACCCTGGACACCACAATCTGAGGCTTTGAGCCACCCGGTCTGCAGCACAGATTCGTCCTAGGGCCCCTTTGGGTGTCAACATCTGGGGGTGCTCAGTCCGTCTACTGAGTGCATAGGATCCACACATGACCTACCCACAGCTTCCCGGGTGCACGAAATTGTCTCTGCATTCCTCGAGACACCTCATGCAGCGGCAGTGCTGTGTGAATGTTCGTTATATTGCACCGTTCAGGAAATGGTGACAATAAAAGTCGGTCCACGGTCAGCACCGACACGGCGCAGCAGGCCACGCCCACGCCCGGTCACATCAGCGGCAACGTGGCCTTTCTGCCCCTCGCAGCCGGCTCCTGGCAGGCAGGAGGCCATGGCTTGGGGCGAGCCGATCCTCTTTGTGCTCAGTGGAGGGCAAATTCCAGTTTTGTTTTTTGGAAGTTTCTAGCAATTCTTTTTTTTTTTGGTACCGGGGATTTCGAGCAATTCTTTTCAGCACGTTTTCCAGCCCGGTGGTTGGATCTGTGGAGGCAGAAGCCATGGGTAGGAAGGGCAAACTGTCCTTCGTCATGGTATCCTCCAAACATGAACGCAGGTTGGGGCCAGCAGAGGGGTCTAGACAGGAGCTTGTGGGGATTTGGATTAAACTGGGCCAGTGCCGGGGTTGGCAGGTTGAGAATGGGCTGGCAGCGTTGCGGAAGTAGCAGAGCATTTGCCTGGCGTGCACAAGATCCTGAGTTCGATCCCTGGCACTGCAATAAAATCAACCAATTAAAAGTCTGGAAATGGTCTGGAAAAGGCTGTTGGGGGGGGGGGCGGGGAACCGGTGGCCCAGGGGAGAGGTGACAGCAGGTGCCACCAGAAAGCTGGGCTCCTCTCCCAAGGCGGAGGCTCTGCAGTGGCGGCCAGGATGCAGATGCCGCCCTGTGTTTCTGGGCACCGATCATCAGGATCTGGATTCCCACAGGAGACGCGGAGGTCCTCAAAGCCAGCCACTGACCGCACTCCTCGGAGAAGGGTCCCAGGGCAGGCTCCAGGCCTGTTCATTTTTCTGTGTCCTCAACCATCTCTGCGGAGGTTGTGTGCATCCCCTGGCGACTCCTTGCTCTGGTACAGAACCTCAGGATGGGCTGACACCGAAAGGCGGGCGAATTCTACCTGCAGAGTCCTTGCCCCACGCCACATCTGTTTTCCCTTCGATTTTGCTAGAATCCATCCCTTGCATGTAAAACAAGGGACTGCACTTTATTCTGAAATGTGCCAGCCATCAGGAATCAGGAAGCCATTCAGCCTCTCACATAGGATGAGAAATGTTGATTTTCTAGTGGACAAGTCGGGGACCCTCATGATGCAAATGGAGCAGGTGGTGAGTTGCAGAGGTGAACAGGGCCTGTCTGAGCGCTCCCGGGAAGACTTCTTTCTTCAACAGAAAAATTTAAAAAGCTACCTTCGGGATCATGCTGGAGGGATTTACAGATGTTTCAGTGAAACTCTTCATTTGGAATTCATGCAGCGCAGTACATATTGACTTCGTGTCACTGAGAATACTGAGATTTATTATTCTCAAAAATAAGTAACAACCTTGACTTGGACTTGGTCAATATTTATCTCACAAGTCGATAAATCTCCTGCAATAAATTTCAAAAAAGCTACCACTTTCTGACACCAGGTCTGATCCTACAGAGGACCCCAAACTTCTCTGCCCTTGCTCAGGGGAGCTGTGGTCAAATCTGAGGACGAATCCTGAGGCGAACTTTATCTTTAGTGAATCCAGCCCTGTTGTAACAGGAGAGTTTTGTCCAATGGCTTAATGTGGTGGAAAATCAGAGCCCCCGGATCGTTCTGTCTTCCTTTCAGTGGTTATAACCAACGTATCTTCTCACCAGAACAGCTTTTCCTAAAGCAGATCCCAGGGCCAATGGGGACAGCAGCCTGTGCAGGCTGAAGGGCCATGCAGGTGATGTGTGACCCGGTCACCTATGGGCCATCCGGGGAGGCGAGGCCTGCGCTGCCTTGCATCTTAGCAGTCCCAATCCCTACCCACCCTCCAGAAGCTCGCGTCCCTTCTGGTGTGCATGACTCAGTCTGTCACCTGGAGAACTGCCTCCTTGTGCCTTGCCCGCAGCCGGCTGTGGCTAGAGGGTCCTCAGACTCCTTCCTTCAGCCCGGTGTGATGGCCCAGGCCAGCCCCTCCGCAATGATCTGCAGGTGCAACACGTGGCTTCATCTGCTTTCTCTTCCTATAACAGAGTATCAGAGACCAACCAGCTTATAGAGAACACGGGTTTACTGAGCTAACGGTCCTAGACGCAGGGCAGTCCAAGAACAGGGCGCCAGCAGCTGCCCGGCACTGGGAGAGGGCTTCGTGTTGCCTGGAGACAGCAAACGTACCCACTTGCATCTGTCCTCCCTCCTCCTCTTCCTCTCCTCCTGCCCCTCCTCCTCCTCCTTCTCTTCCCCTTCTTCCTCTTCTTCCTCTTTCTCCTTTCCCAGCACAGGGAATTGAACCCAAGGCCTTTGCGCTGAGTTACATCCCCAAGCCTATTTTGGTTTTTTATTTTGAAATAGGGTCTGGCTAAGTTGCTAAGTAGCCAAGGCTAAGCTTGAACTTGTGATTTTCCTGCCTCAGCCTCCCAGAGTGCTGGGATTATAGGTTGCACCACCATGCCTGGTTTCTCTTCCTCTCCTTACAGAGCCATTAATACTATCCTGGGGGTTCCTTCCTTAGAACTTCATCCCATCCTCATCACCTCTGAAGGCCCACTTCTGGGTACCAACGGCATATGAACTTGAGGCTCAAGCTTCCAACACACGAGCTCTGAGAGGAACCCCAAAGCACAGCTATGGCACCAGCTTGTCAGCACACAGAAGCCAGACACACACACCTTCCTTCACCCCTAGCGAGCACACTTGTGGGCTGCCTGCTCTCTGCAGGCTTCCCAGACCTTCCGGGGCCCCACGGAGCTGCTTCCCGAGATCTCCCAAGGCCCTGCCTGTTCTCCTCTCCTGTGGCTCGAGCCCCCTTGCAGTGCACTGCTGGACAGGTGCGCAAAGGCAGCCTTGGCCGCCAGGAGCCTGCCTCACACTGCCGGGCACTTTCTATTTCATGACAGCTTTAGGAAGGTAACTTCTGCCAGTCCGGATGCAGGTTCCACATATTAGAATGGCATTGTTTTTAATACTGTGCTCTCTTTGGTTTGGGAACCATGTTTATTTATTTAATTTTATTTATTTACTTACCTGAATTACTAGAAAAGCTAGGTTATTGCTGAAAAATTTTGAAAAATCTAAAGCAACAACTTGGAGGATGCCAAGAGAAGCCTGTACAGTGAAACGGTCGTGGTACCCTCTCCAGGTGAGCAATGTATCTCCTCCAGTATTTATGTTGAGCCGCACAGCAGGTCTCAGCAGATCAAAGCAAAGGCTGGAGCCAGGATGCCTGGAGTTGTACCCACCCTCTCCCACTGACCATCTGGGTGGCTTTGGACAAGTAATCATCTCTTTATACTTATCTCCTCAGAATTAGAACTGAGGTCACCACAATATTATGCATAGGATTGTTCTGAGAATTGATTAATCATCGAGAAGTGCTTAGAATAGTACCTGGCACACAGTAAGTGCTGCATTATGTGTTTGCCAAATACACACCCTGGTGTTTTGCAACAATAGTGGCTTTTCAATTAAACATACGCTCTTAGTCACTTCATGCACATTAGTATATCTAATCTTCATAAAAACCCGCCAAGCATATATTATTTTACAGAAAGAGCCAGATGTGGGATATTGGGTGTTTGCCTAAAGACCATTGGTGGAAGCTGGGATTTGAGGCCACACCTAGGTTGGGCTTTCATGACCCCTCACGAGGCTGGAAAGCCACACTCATTCAGCACTCCCCACAGACTTCTGTTGTCACTTGTGTTGCCTCACTGGCTTCTGTGGTCCCTCTGATACTGTTTGCTCCTATGTCAAGGCAATGAGGTTTGGGACAACAAAGCATCTGGGATTTGGGTTTGAATGTGGGTTTCTTGAGGCTGAAACTAAAACTTTCTACCACTCCCCTCTCTCCCCCAACCACAAGGATCTGCATGATGCACATGAACTCTGCACTGCTTTCACATAGCTATCCTCCCACACCACGCTTCTCAATTTAAAATTTTTCAGCCCTTTGGAGAATTTGAAAGAATAGAACAATGAGTATCTTAAATACTTCTCAACTAGCTTCAGCTATTATATTTAACATACGTGTTTCTGAAACATACTGAAATGCTGGAGAGAAACATTAAATGTGACGAAGGTCATTTTCCAATGATAAGAGGTACACCACACGATGAAATCTCACATGATGAATATGTATGCACCAAATAACACAGCATCAAAATTCATAAAGCAGCAACCATGGGAGCTATTAGGAGAACGAACAGAAACACATCAGAAATATGAGACTTTAATTCATTGCTCTCTGCCCATGAAAGATCAACTACAATACAAAATCTACATAAAACCAAAGCAAGGAGAGAAGCTTAGAGGAACAATGGCGGCCCGGGGCAAAGGTGGTGGAGAGGAGGCATTCAACTCCGAACAGCCAAGGAAGGGACAACACGGGAACCACAGCCCTTGGAGAAAAATGTTAAGTGGGCATCTTTCCTTCTCCACCTTATGTAAAGCAAATAGATTGCGTATCCCATGTCCTCCTCGCGTTGGTGGTATAGTGGTGAGCATAGCTGCCTTCCATGTCCTCCTCCAAGGGTGGCAGGGCTTGTCTCCGAATTCATAATTAAGGCTTCCTACATTCTACCTCACCGAGTATGGGCAACTGAGAACAGGCCAGCGGAACCAGTACTGTGGCTGATACAGGAGCACTGAGGACTGGAGACAGAACCAGGAGTCCATGTAGCCAATGTTTACCGAGCACTGTTCCAGGCAGGAGGCAAAGCATGGAGAGAAGTTAGTGAAGTGATGAATGCAGGGCTGATGAGCTGGAAACACAAAGCTGCCCCTGAATGCAGGCAGCCTGAGTCCTGGGCCCGCGGTCAGATCATTGCCATGATGTTGCAGCTCCTACAAATGACAGTCAGGTGTTTGTAACCCAAAAGGTCCTCCTGACCATTCCTCTCCAGTACCAGATGGTGGGTCAGCCCATCTGCCTTCTGTGTCTAAGGACAAAGGGTCATGCAAACTCACCTTGAGAGAGAGAGAGAATAAAACACAGGTCATGCCCACAGCTGGGAAGCTGCCAACAGAGCTCCAGAACCAATTCTCTGTTTTTTCTCTCCTTCACTGTAAAACCTTTGGCTCTCAGAGGATCTCTGTTTTCTGTTATCTCATGGGTTTCTGCCCCTTATTCGCATGAGATCTGACGTGGATCAGCCTGACAGTCCCTGGACACCAGACCCATCCTTCCCTGGGCAGTAGCCTCGGGGCTATACCAGTCCGGGCATTTTACTGTTTCCTCATGGGCTTCTGAGTGAGCCACCCCGGGTCAGCACCTAGCAGTCCTCCAGCCAGCTCTAGAGAGGAAGAGAGGGTGATCTTACTGTGTAAATAATAACCAAGTAGGTGGGCAACGTTTATTCTCTAAATGCACTATTATAACCCTGAGACAGGAAAACGATGACAGGCTTTGTGTCTGCCTTGTTACCCCCATGGCTCTGCTATTTTCCACAAGCCGATTTCCAGGTCTAGCCACATGTGCTGTTGCTACCGAGCTCAGAGAGTAGAGGCTTCCAATTGCTTTCCCCAAGTGGGCTTGGAGTGGCCAACATCACACCTGCGCCGGGGCTGTGGCTATGTGGCCATTTCCTCAGGGCCCAGGACAAATTGCACAGGACACTGCCCACTTTTACATCAGTGAAATGTGGTTTAAGCAAATATAATCACAGATAATAGAGCCTGTGCCGGGGAATACACTGTATACAACCTGGAGGTAGAAATGCCAAGGGAGAGGGGGTCCTAAAAAACGTACATATGCAGTGAATGTTTGAATTTTAAAAATGTGTTATAGGAAAAGACACATTGCTATTAACCCCCCTTCAAAATCCTTCCCTTCTCTTCAAACATACTTATCCAATAGTTCTTGCTACTTCCTGCAGCAGCTCTGGAGTCTTCTTTCCTGAGGAGGCTACTGTGTGGGGCCCAGCAGGCCCAGCTATGTCTGGTCTGAGGCCTGGCGGCCCATTTCCCAGCCGGGGCTCTGAGAGGTCACTGTGTCAGGATGATGCAAGCACAGGTCCCTGCAGCAGCCTGGAGCTCCGGTTCCTTTCGCCTAGGTGGGGCCTGAGGATCTGCATTGCTTATAACTTTGCAGGAGGCATGGGTGCTGCTAGCCTGAGGAGCACACTTTGGGAAATGTCACTGTGCTCAGCGGCCTTCGACTGTGCATTGTGTGTCCTGCTCCAGCACCGGAAGGGGGTCATGAGAAGAAGTGTCATGTCCCCAACTCATGATGATGAGTTTGATGTGTGCGGAGGGAACACAGGTGGAAATACTGGGTAGATGGTTGAGATTGTGTCTGGAGTTGGGTGTAGGTTGACTGCAATCTCCATGAGAGGATATAACCATTGACCATGCTGTGTCAAAGTGGCTTCCTGAGTAAGAACTGCCTGGCAGATGAGTAAAGCCCAGCTGTGGGCGTGTCCGTGGATGACTGACATAGAGGCTAGCAAACTGAGGGGGAAGACCTACTCAGAATGTGGTTGGCACTGACCAATAGACTTGTAGCCTGGATGGAATAAAAAGGGAAAGGAAAAGGAAGTGCTGCCATGTTGGAAGAGCTCTAGTCGCCTTTGGACATTGGTCTCCCGTTTCTTCAGCCTCCCGGTGCAGACTCTCACTGGAGACTCCGCAGGCAGCTCGCAGGCCTTCCACTTTGGAGGGGGCCTGGATCCTTGGTCCCTCTTGGTCTGCCTCATCCAGTTTCTTGGTCTGAGGAACTCCTGGGTCCTCTGCTTTCTGGTGTGCAGACAGCCTCTGTGGATCCTTTCACCTCTGATCCCTTACGCTACCTACTAAGTCCCCCTGCACACATTTTCTAATGACTCTGTTCCTCTAGAGAAGCCTAACTACTACAGAAGGGAAGTGGCATGCCTCTGGAAGATTTATAGGGTGAGGTAAGGAGGCCCATGTCCCCTCTCTGTGTTCCTCCCTCTTGGACACACTCTGACAATTTGCCCTCAGGAAGTTGCATGCCCTGTTGTCCCCCCAGTGATGACAGCACATGATTTTGTGCACTGAGGAGGCACCTTTTGCCTAGAAGTCCCCCTCACAAACTCCCCTTGCCCATGGCTCAGCCTGCCTGCCGTTCCCCAGAAGCCCCTCAGTCCCAGGCCCACCCCTGCAGCTTCTCTAAATGTCCTCAACTTGGTTTCTGGGCAGAGAAGACCCTGTGCTTGGGCTGGGTGGGGAAGGAGGATTCTAGGATGCAGACACCTGAGGGATGGGAAGAGGAGAGAGGCTGCAGGCAAAGCTGGACCGGAAGTCCTTCCTACCCAGCAATGAGGCCTCAAGCGTTCTGTTAGAGCAACAGAAATAGGGCGTGGTGTGCCTGAGGCTGCTGCCTGAGACTTCTCCCAAGATGGAGGTGCAAAGATCTTTCAGTCGATGGCCATTTGAGAGCCAGCACACCACTGGGCTGCGAGTCTCTGTTTAGGTGGAGGGAGAAGTAGAGCTCTCATCACTCCATAAACACATCTTTATACAGAAGCCTGAGAATGATGCATAATAGCTGGGGAAGGAAAAAGTGGGCTGTGGCCAGGGGTGGAACCCATCCCTGCAAAAGGCAATGGACGAAGCTGTGGGCCAGCCGAATGGCGTTTCTGAAACCCAAGGTGAAGCTCTAAGCCCAAAGTGGTTGGAGCCTCACCCAGTGTGACATGCATGTCGCGAGGCCATCCTGTGAAACCAAGCCAGCACGTTGGGGGACAGCAGGCAGGGCCGTGCACTGCAGGTCACCAGTCCTGTGCCTGAGGGGGGCCAGCCCTGGATGCAGGGAGCCAGGGAGCTGCCCACAGGACACTCGCTGACCTGGGACATTCTGTGACCTGGGGCAGCTCGCGAGGCAGGGAGCTTGGCCTTGGTGACCTTTCTATCCACAGGAACTTGAGCAGCGCCTTCTTCTTACGACTCTACTACAAGAAGAGAAACAGCACAGGGGTAGGGAGACATGGAGAAGGTTTTTCAAGAGAAAAAAGATGCCACTCGCCCCAGGAAGGGACAGGCCAGAGGCCCGAGGAGGGGCTGCATGCACAGAAAGGGGAGCCCGGTGCCTAGGACCCAAAGATGGAAGTGCACGTGGCACCCTACTCTCGGGAAAAGGCCAAAGGTGCTATCAGCTGCGGACTCTGCCAGTATTATCTAACTCTTCTGTGCACCTGTGGACATGAGGGCAGTTTTGTCTTTCACAGATGGCTGAGAGCTTGGTGTCAACAGCCTTGTTTCCCACTGTTCTCTCTTGGAGACAGGGCAGCCGCAGATGTCAAACTCTCCTCCCTGCCCCTGAGCTTCTGAGGCCAGCAAGCCCAGATGTCACTGTGTGGCCAGCAGCTCCTGGGTGAGGGGGTCACCTCAGAGGCCACCCCGCCCGGTGTCAACTGAGAGGTTGTGGATGGAGCCAGGGAGCACAAACCACATTCCTCACACATTATCCTCAGACTGGCAGGGCTGCTGTCCGGCTCTTACCCTTAGGAAGGAAGGCAGTGACAGTGGCAGACAGGTCACATCATCTCGTGGCCATGGGCGCTGTCCAAGTCACTTTCCCATCATTGTGACACAACTTAGGGGAGGAGAGCTTTATTTTGGCTCAGTGTGTAGATGTAGAGGTCTCAGTCCATGGTAGGCTGGCTCCAAGGCAGGGTGGCTCCACAGATGAGAACAGTCCATGGCACTGCAGACAGGAAGAAGCGAGAGCAGGGGGAGCAGGGGAAGCAGGGGAGGCAGAGGAACCCTTCCAGGCCCCGCTCCCAGGACCGCCTCCAAACAGGCCCCGCCTCCTAACACCAGGTCACTAGGAACCCAGGATGCTCACCTTCACACAGGGCCTGGCCTATGCGCAGGGGCTCTGGGGGACAGCTAGGTAGAAACCAGAACAGGACCACAGTGACAGTGGTCCTGGGAGTCACGGGAACTCCCACATGCAGCACAGGCTCCCACAGTTTCCCACGGCTACAGCAGGATATGTCAGGCGGGTGACACCTATGGGGAAAAGTGTGTGGGCCACGTGTGTCTTGAGTGGGGGCCAAAGAGTAGGGGGCCAGCCTCTGTGGGGCCCTGGCTGTGCCACCTGGGCAGAGAGTGGCCGAAGGAGAGAGGGAGAGAGGAGGAGGAAATGAAAGGGAGGAGGATGGGAGGGGAGGAGGAGGAGGAGAAGGGAAGGGATCGTAGGGGAGGGGAGGAGGGGAGAGACGCTTCCACGGGTGAGACAGGAGCCGTGAGGCCGGGCTGCCAGGCGCATGTTCCTGCACTGCCCACTCTCGAGGGACCCCGTCTCCCCAGACAGGGGCACGGACCCTCCCTGGGCGGCCATCACCTACCTCATCCCACAGCCCCTCCCTTTCTGAGGGCCCCTCCAGTTATGCTGGGCACGGAGACTCAGCCGAGTCCTTACAGACAAAACCCACACTGACGCCAACAGTGTCCACATCACCAACGGCGGGCACTACCCAGTGTGACACACAAACACACACACACACACACACACCCCTCTCTGCTGGACTGGAAGTCGCACGCAAGGCTTCTGCACTGAGCTACATCCCAGCCTTTTAAAGTTTTATTATTTTTTGAGACAGGATCTTGATAAGTTGCTGAGCCATCCAAGCTTGTGATCCTCCTGCCTCAGCCTCCCAGAGTGTTAGGATGACAGGCATGCCCCACTGCGCCCGGCTCCGTGGTGGTTTAACTCCACGAGCTGCCCTCTGAGTCGGTGCTGTGACTTTCCCGTGGTGTGGAAGCGTCCCTGCAGCGGTAGTGCTGGCACCGAGGGACGCCGAGAATCGCGGCGACTCCAGGGTGGCACCGGGAGCCGGCTGAGGCTTGCCTTCCTGCGGGTGCATCAGACCCGAGGCCCGGCTCCTGTTCACCCCTCGGCGGGCGGGCAGAGGCCCGAGGATGGGGGCTGGGCGCTGCGGAGTGACCGCGACACCGCCGGAGGGTGTGGCCACCCTGGCGCTCACTGCCACCTCTGCGGCAGGGGCTCGGTGGGCCTGGCCTTCTCCTGCCGGCCTGGACGTTCGTCCTCGGGAGGAGCTGGGTGCCCAGTGCAGCCCCAGTGCCGGGTGCGAGGATTGCCTGCCCTCCGGTCAGAGGCCTGGGTCAGCACAGTGGGGTTGGCAGAGCGACCCGGGGAGGTCACGTGATGGTCCCCAGCCTCGCTGGGCCCTCCCCGTCAGTGACGCCGTGTGCCTGAGCATTCTGGGCACAAGGGCCCCAGGCTGCATGCGTGACCGCAATCTTTCCTCTTCCAGGGTGCAGGGCACGTGCATCTCGGGGAGCAGCTGAGCCAGCTGTGCTGCTTTAACAACTGCGACTCACAACAGGAACGGCGGAAGCCCGCATCCCAGGGACGTTACTGACTCTTGGAAGGTGAGGAGCAGGCTGGATGTCGTGGGAGGACTCCAGATGCCTGATTTCCCTGGAAGCTCCACCGTGAGGCCTCTCAGCAGATTCCCTGTGGTGCCAGAAAGGCTGCCAGTGCACCTGCGGCTCCACTTCCTCTCAACCATGGCTCATGTCCTACAAGAGGAAGGAAAGGAACTTTCTCTTCTAGTCAGTCCCAGCAAACCTCTTCTCCCTTACTCTGCAGAAGCCCCTGGCACTGCGGGACCTGCACAGCAGGTGCCTTATGTCCTGCTGACCTGCCTCGTGGACTCTGGATAACTCAGAAATATGGGTCCCTTGGGGGTTGAGGTCCATGTGGTGCCCCCAGGAGCTCTCTGCTCAGGCCCCGGACCCCCAAGGCACCTCCTGGCCAAGGCTGTGGCTGTGACAGCCAGTGCTTCTGATACTTGGCATCTGCAGGCACCTGTGCCCATCTGGGTCCAGACAGAGCCCCGTGGACGTGGAGCTGTCTTGCCCTAAGGGGCCGGAAGGAGCCCCGTGGTGGTGTCCTGAGTCTCGGGGTGGCCCAGAGGCCAGCGCCCACCTTCGCTGAACAAGTCTTGCTCTGCCTGGCGCCCTGTTGCATGGGGGTCTGGCTTCTTTCCTGGAGCCTGAGTCCCTGGCTGGTTTCCGTCCACTTGCCCTGCAACAGGCACGGGGATGATGCCACCCTGCAGGGTGCGTGGCTCTGCTGCACCCTCCACACCCTGTCCCTGCCTTTCCGCCACCCTCTCTGGAACGGCTCCTCCCACAGCCCACTTCCCGGTCTGCCTGGCAGGATGCCGTCCCCATCCTGTGCCTATCTCCAGGCCCCAGGAAGTCAGACTCCCCAACTTCCCGAGCTGGTGCAACAGCCAAGTCCTGAAACTTGTTTTTTCTTTTGGATTTTTTGAGATCGGACCTCACTTTGTAGCCCAGCCAGGGGTTCAGCTCAAGGTGACCCTCCTGCCTCAGCCTCCCGAGTGCTGCACCACCAAGCCTGGCCCCTGAAACTCTTTAAAAGTGAGAGGCCAGTGGGAGGGGAAAGCCCTAACCTGACCCATGAAGGACTCAGCTTTCTCTCTCTTCCCTGTCCTTTCTCACTGCTCATGCTGAAATGGAAAGGAGATCACATTTTATGATCCAAAGATAAAGGAGAACAGGTTTCCTGAAACAAGAGGCACTGACAGAATTAAAATCTAAATCCAGAATTTTGCTCAGTGACAACCCTGAGGTCGTACAGTGAAGTAACTGGTTCCACGGAAATCACAAACTGACAAGAAGTGACGGGGGCAGCTCAGAATAGCAGTGGGGCTTGGGCCGGGAAACCTGCCCTCAAGCCCCAGCCCTTCGTTGATTCCTTGAGAAGCTGTGTCTGCCCCAGGGCTGCTTTCTTGACTATAAAATGAAGGCAGTGGCATTTGCCTGTGGAACAACTGGGCCAACTGACTGGACAGGCACACGAGGTGCCCGGTACAGACGTACATGTATCCCCTGCCTAGGGCAAGCCAGGCACGATCACAGTGCCAATTTTTACTGTTCGTTTGTTTGCTTTGTGACTATGTCATCCAGGCTGGTCTTGAACTCATGATGTAGCCCAAGCTGGTCTTGAACCCATGGTGACCCTCCTGCCTCAGCTTCCTGAGTGCTGAGATCACAGGCATGCACCACTATGCCTGGCATGGTGCTCATTTGGAGAACGAAGGTGAGGAAAGAGGAGAGAATGAAATAAAAGGTAGAGGGCAGAAGGGGAGGAGGAGAAAACAGAGTTTCTCCTGGAAAAATCTGTCCCACAGCCACAGGATCTTCAAATCAAATGCACTCTCCTCGGACCCTGGGCTACATGTGGAGCTGATCACAGAGGGCAGGAGGCTCTGCCTGGAGCCTAAAACACAGTTCCGGGTGCCGCTGAGACCTCCGCAGGCCCAGGGCCCAGCCCCTCCTCTCCCTGAGCCCTCCTGGATACCTGCTCTATTTTCTGTGCTCGCCCAGCGTGGGGATTTAACCCTCTTAGGACTGCATGTTCCTGAATGAAGTAGCTTCTACTTGTACCAGGCAAACGCTAAGGAGCAACTGCTCCCCACCTGCACACACTGGCTTGCAAGCTGCTTTCACCCATTCCCTGAGGGCGGTGACCTTGCTGCTTGCAAAGCTGTGGACCCTTGCAAGCTGTGGACCCGGGGCATTCAAGCCACCAGGTGTCCTGGGAGGAGATGCAGTTCACCCAGTAAAGCGCACGCATCGGTGGTTAATTAAGTTCTACTGGATTCAGGGGCCAAGCTGACTCTTCTTTCTCGAGGCCGAGCTCACACTTCAGTGGTGTTCCAGTCTGCGCACCCAGGGGTGTGGACCTGCGTCCGCCTGGAGCAGGGACGGTCCGGGCGCCTGCAGCTGGAGGCGTCCGTCGGCCTGCGGCTGTCTACTTACTGCCCTCTCCCTGCTCCCGCAAAGCGAAGGACGCCGCAGGCTGCAGCTCACCTCCTTCCCAAAGGACCTGGCCCACAGAGCCCAAGACACGTGGGAGGAGGAGAGGGGCAGTGTGGCCTGAGCCTGTGGACCAGGTCCCCGCACCAGCACCTCTGGGACAGGGGTCGGTGAGCCTGATCCGCAGGGCAGCCGGCAGACCTGGTCCACGCCTGGGTCCACGGCCACCCTGATCAGCGTCCCGTGTCCAGCCCACGTGGAGATGAACCCCAGGCTGGGGAGGAGCCAGGTGCACCGGCCTTGCACCCTGGAGCAGAGCCGCACCCACGCCCCTCTGTCCTGGGGTCTCCCCATCTCCTCTGGGCCCCAAGACACCGGAGGGGCAGGGCCTTCTGATCCCCTTTGCAGTGAAAACACGGGCCTCGGGGTCTCCTCTGCGCATCCCCTCCCAGAGTCACCGTCCAGGGGCCTTGCGCTTGGCGCTCTGCGGACACACACACAGCCCACGGGTTGGGGACGGCACGGGGCCACGCGAGAACGAGACTTTGGGACCTGCAGAGCCGGACTGCTTGCTTTTCAAGAGCAGCAGGGTGGTTTTGCGGGAGCTACTCAGACTGAATTCTTTTCTAAAAATATCACACGCAGTATAAACTGACCTCCACCCCCTGTGCTCCAGGGCACAGGCTGCCGCAAGACCCGCCCGGTACTCCGGGAAAAGGCCTGTTTGCACCCCAGCCACGCACTCCCCAGGACCCGCAGCCCCGGTGCTCAGCTCAGGCACCAGTGCCCAACTGGGCTGTGGCACCCACGCTGCAGCCAGATGGAGCTGGCTCTGCCCTCCCTGCCTCCTTTCTCTTTTTGTACTGGGGACTGAACCCAGGGCCTTTGCACTGAGTGGCACCCCAGCCCTTTTTATGTTTTATCTGAGGCAGGGTCCTGCCAAGTCACTAAGTTGCCCGGATTAGATTTGGACTCGCCATCCTCCTGCCTCAGCCTCCCAGAATGCCTGGATAACAGGCATGCGCCACCACATGCGGCTCAGATGGAGCTTTCTAAACCCAACCAGAAGGAGCAGACAGTCGGATGTAAAAAGAACCACATTCTTCTCTAGAAAACTGAAGTCAAGTGGCAGTACAGCTGTAAACATGGAAGCTGCTCCTGGAGAGCTCTCAAGAGGAATCCCAGAAGAAAAACTCTGCAGGACCAAGTTCAGCAAGAACTTCTCAACCACAAAAGGATAAGTTGGTGACTTAACTTGTGAAATATAATATTTCTGCTCTTTGAAAGGGACTTGCAAAAGTGAAAAGCCTGAGTGAAAATATTTGCGAAACACACATCGGCCGCAGGAGATACGCAAACGATATGAGGGCCTCTCAGAATGCAGACAGGAAAACAAGCAGCCCAGTGAGAGACTGGCACAGGATTTCCACAGATGCCTCACAAAAACGCACATGGCACGGCAAGGGGAAAAGCGCCGAGCACTGCTAGCTGTGAGGGAGAAGCCAAGTCAGAGTCACTGCCCCCACTGACAGGGACAGCTGAGCGGAGCGCTGGCAATACCGAGCACTGCTCAGGCACGGGCAACTGGAACCGCAGGCGTTTCTGGCGGAGGTGCCAGTGCCACAAGTTGTGCTGGAAATCGTTTGGCAGTGTCTGATAAGTGACACATATGTACCATGTGACTTCCGGGTTTTGCTCTTATGTACCCAATGAAAAAGAAAACTTCTAGTTCCCAGGAAAATCTTTCCACCAGTCTTTGTAGCAGTTTGATTCGTAATTGCCCACCACGAAGACTGGCCTGGATTTCTACCCGCCGGTGAATGAATGGACAAATTGGTATCCACCCCGATGGTAGGATTCTCATCTGCCATAAAAAGAGGCCAAAGGGCCATAAAGCAGCATGGCTGAACCTCAGCGCATTATGCTACTCCTGCCCAATTCCAGTTGCGTGCTACTCTGACAAAAGCAGACTTGCGCTTACCTGGGGAAGGCAGGTGACCGACCCAAAGCAGGTGGAAGCAACCTTCTGGGGCCAACAGGGCTCCGCATCACACAACTGTGCGCCTTCCAGAACAAATTATGCTTTAATAAACCAAATGGAGGAAGCACCGTTAGTTGAGCCCGTTTTGGTTGTAAAGAAACTTTGGTCCCAGCTATGAGTCAAGCATTCTGATTCAAGGAAAATGATAGCTAACACTGGTGCATCTCAAGGAATGTGGACATTCATGGGAATTCCAGAGGACAGCGGCACTAACCAGGCCAGGCCAGGCCAGGCCAGGGAGAAGAGGCGGACAGCATCCATCTGGCCTCCTCTTCCCACACCTGCTCACACTGGCCCACCTCTCCGGGCCTCACTTGTCTCCTTTGTACAGACCCCTCCAGGACTTCAATTCAGGGTCCCGAGTACGGCCATCTGGGTTGGCTCATTTTCCAGCCACCTGCCGACCTACTTGTGCAGCTGGCATCCCTGGGCCAGTGAGTCCCGGACAGAGTGCTCGCTGCTGGGATGGGAAAGCCAGGAGAGTTAGGGGCCGATAGGGAGGGCGGGACTGGCCGGGAACCTCACCTCGCACTCACACCCAGCACCTTGAGGTGAAGTATAAATACCTGAGCTTGAAAACTACGCTCCTTCCTCCCTCTCCTGCCCGATCTTTATGAATCTTCAGCCTCCAACTGAGCCGAGCTGCTCCTGAGCTGCTCCCCAAGGAGCCCAGGCCACTCTTGGCCTTCGTCTGAAGTGCATGGCCCTCCCTGGGCCCTTTCTTCAGGCCCCTTTGCCTTACTTGCCAGGCTGGATGCTTCAGGTCTGTGGGGCACTGCCACCCGAGTCCTCTCTGAATGCCACCCGGGTCCTAGACTCGGGGGTACCCTGGACATCTGTCTCGAGCTTAGAGGGCTCAAGGGTCCAGAGCATCCCGCACACAGCCAGCTGGGCGCAGGGATGTGCAGGTGGCTCCTCGTGCTCCGGGACAGCGCCCCCTGCCCCACATGGCTGGGCATCCTTAGTGAGCATGGCTAGCTCCAGCTCTGGAGGGGTGAGGGATGCTCACATGACCACGCACAATTGGGGCAGGCTTTGTGACCTGCACAGCCCCTCTGAACAGCACTGAGGCCACAGCTGGCAGAGCCCAGCAGCCTGGAAGCCGCTCACCCTGCCCTTTCCCTCTGCCAAGGCTGCTGGAAAAGTTTGAGTGGGTCCAGGGCTCAGAGAGGATCGTTCCATTACTGCGTCCACTGGCCCCAATGATCAATTCATTTGCATGACACCACTTGCAGTAATGACTTATTCCGGTGTGTGCCCTCTTGTGCCAGGGATTCCTTCCCTAGAAGGCGCTCTGAAGGCAGTGTGGTTATGTCACCAAGCTTACCGTCAACAGCGGAGATAGATGTCAATCAGTTCATCACTAATTAAAAATGCGGGCCTCTCAGATCCTCCACTTTCAGCAGAATGAGCCTTCCGGCTCACGGCGGATAGCTGGATTCTTTGCTATCACAGAATCCTGTGTCTTGTCCCGAGGTCCAAGTCCAGCCTGCATGGTTCCCTCTGGTGAGGTGCCTGCCCCTGGAGGCTGGGCTCTCAGGGTGATTTGTACACTGCTTGGCTATCAGCTAGCAGGGGCTGCCACCCTGTGAGGGACTCATGGGCCGGGGACCCTCAAGAGTGCCTGGGGGATGGCAGGGCTTGGCCACAATCACCATCCTGAGGCCACTTTGGCTCCTACAGCCACAAGGGGAGTGGGAAGTTCAGGCAGGTGTGGTGGTGCGTGCTTGTAATCCTAGCTACTTGGGAGGCTGAGGCAGGAGGATCCCAAGTTCAAAGCCAGCCTGGGCAACTTTGCAAAAGGAAACCCTGTCTCAAAGTAAAAAAAACAAGAAAGGGCTGAGGCTGCAGCTCAGTGGTAGAGCACCGTGGGTCCATCCTCAGTACTGGGGTGTACGGAGGGGTGGCAAGGTCATGAACTTGCTTCAGAAAGCGGTGTGGGGTGGGTGCTGGCCTATTGCAGAGCCAGGAAATGTGGGAACGAAGGTGCCCCAGGAATTCTAGGGGCCACTGCCAGCAGGAAAACACCTGAGGATGTTTATATCCATTCCACTCCAGTTCACAGAAGTTCATGAAACCCACCGGTCTGAAAGAACTGAAAGCCAGGCCTGGTCCTACCCCCGGACTGGGTCTTGAAATGGAGGGGAAGAAACACTACACAACATTTTATCCGATCAGCTGACAACTGGAACACGGATGGACGAGATACCAGCATCTTATCGCCGTGAATTCAGGAGTTTGGCAACCTGCTGTGGTTATGCAAGATAAAGTCCTGTTCTCAGGAAAGACACATCCACGTGCAGAGCTCCGAAGGGTCCACCAGTGATTCAGAAAGAAACTAACACGGCTGCGTGTGGAGCAAGTCTGCAGACGTCCAGGAGACCCCAGACTCGGGGCTTTCTGGTGGGTGCGTGGTCCCCGGCCAATCCACGAAGAGAGTCTCACCTCACACTCGAGAAGTCGGCAGCCAGTTTTCTCTGAGTCCTTTATCTGCCGTCAGGATCCTTCGTGCTTCCAAACCATTCTGTCTCGATTTTCCGGTTATGGGGCCAGGAGCAGGGGACGGGACGGGACTTGAGGGAAGTCTGCTTCAGGGACAGGAGAGGAGGACCCTGGTTACATCGGCCCAGGCAGGAGCACCAGGGCTAGGTGCAAAGCTACAAAAAGGTGAGTAAAGACAGAAAGCCCTGGGGCAACGCCTGCCTTTCAGCCCAGCCCTCGCCTGGCCTTGGGGAAGTGGCTGCACCTGAGGAGATGCGATTTCCATCCACATCTCCGGAGCGAGTGCCCAGGGCTGAAGTGGGCCACGCGCGAGGACTCACGAGTGCTCGAGACAAAGCGCTGGCTCAGAAGGGAAGTCTTTCACCATAGCCGTTTTCATCGCTGCAAGGTGCAGAAAAAGACAACGATGGCTGTGCGTTTGGCACGATGGAGACTGCACGGCCCTGTCCGAGGGCCCCTGGGTGGGATCTTCCAGCAGAGCAGTCCCGTTGTGTCCGGCCGGGGCGGGGAAGGTGACTGGGGTCCGGAGGGGCCGCGGCTCTGGCCAGCGTTGCGTGCCCACTTCCCGGATCGGGACACTGAGGCTCGGCTGCCCGGGAGGATGCGGGGTCTGCAGGAGGGCGGCGGGGACGCTGGGGCGAGGCCGCAGACCCGGCTTTCCCGTCCGGGGCGCGCGCTCCCGGGGCCACTGCCCCTCCTGGCGCCCGGGGGCCCGGCGCGGCGGGCTGGGCGAGTTTCAAACCGTCCGCCCGAGGGCCTCGGCGGGGCGGGCGGCGGAAAGGGAGAGGGGGTCAGCGGCCGCGCCCCGCCCCGCGCCGGCCGGCCGGAGGAGGCGGCGGGGAGGAGCAGGAAAGGCGCGGGGCGGGGCGCGGGCGGCGTTTAAAGCCCGGCGGCGGGCGCGGGCGAGCAGCGGCGTAGCTCAGCTCAGTTCAGCTCAGCTCAGTTCAGCGCGGCGGCGGTGCCTGGGTCCGGACGCGCCGGGGCTGTCGCGGCGGCCACGCGGAGGCGCAGGTACGGGCGCGCGCGAGGGGCCGGGCGGGCCGGGCGGGTGCAGCCGGCATTGTCTTCGCGGCCGGGACGCGGGGACGCGGGCGGAAGGGAGGAGGGCGGAGGAGGAAGGAAGGGCGTCGCCGGGAGGCGGGGGTCCCGGCCAGGCCGCGCCCGGTCGCCGTCCGCGAGCGCGGGACGGGGCGCCGGTGCCGACGCGCGGTCCGGCCGCGCGGGAAGCGGCTGATGCAACGCGCCCGCCGACCCCGGCCGACGCCCCCGCCTGGAGCCCGGGCAGGCTCGGAGCGCGCGTCCCCTTCCGCGGCCGCCCCGACGCGAACTTCCAGGCGCCGGAGCCGGGCGGCTGCCGTCCCGAGCCTTGAGAAGAGCCGGCCCGCAGGTGAGTCCCGGCCGGGCCGCCGGTGCCTCGGAGCGGTTTTCCTGCCGTGGGCTCCTTCGGGTGCAAAGAAAGGACCCGGGCAGTGGCGCCCGACGGACTCCCGCGGCTCCCGCCTGGAGGCCGGCCCGGCCTGGAGACCGCGGGAGGAGGGCGCCGAGTCGCCGCCTGCACTCCCCGCAGCCGGGCCGGGCTGTCCCGTCCCGCCCGCCCGCCCGCGTTCACTCGACACATGGCGCGGGCGCAGCGACAGGCTGAGCCGGGCTTACGGCGGGGCTGGTAACAGTTTAACGAGGACGGCCTCGGGCGCGCTTTCCGGGACGCAGGGGGCAGGGGCAGCGCCGGCCCCACGCTGGCAGCGCCTCTCGGGCAGCACCCTCCGGAGGAGGAGGCCCGGAACCGAAGCCCTTCCAGGACCATCCCGGATGCCTGGTTTTCTTGCTAAAAGTCGGAAGTCTAGGGTCCCCGCACACTGTGTGAGCTGCACTGGAAAGCCGAGGGCACCCCGCCAACCCCCACATCAGGGGAGGGGAATTCGAGGACAGCCACAGCCAAAGGCATGGCGTAACCAAGAAGCCAGGCCACGGATATTCTGCGAGCCTTCCCCAGTTTACGAGGCGCTTTCAGAAGCTTTGTTGCTTTTAATCCACTGGATAGCCTCCCTGATCCCCATTTTACAGGTCTGGAAACCAAGGCTCGAGATTAATCAGCGAGCCTGAGGTCGTAAGGCCTGCAGACGGCTAGGCTGTTACTGGACCCTAATCCTCAGATATTTTTTTAAAGGCCTGTGTGTTTTATGCTGCTGCAAAAGTACGTCCGCTTCTGAAAGCGACAGGGCACAGATGAGGTTCCCCCTGCCAGCCTCAGAGCCCAGGACGGTTCTTGGTCCAGAGCCTCCCGACCTTAAAGATTGATGCCATATATTGACCCGGCCATGGCGGATATTTATTTTTTTATACTTAAACACGCATTTATTTTGGGAAGAAACTTTGGTATCCATGAAATCATGAGTTGGATATGGTAGTTATGTTCACTGTAATTAAAATAGAAAAGCTGTTTACTGCTTAGGTCACCTGTCGCATATCGCCTGTGGTCTGTATGGCTTTCGGAGCCGCACTGGGGTGGTTAAAATGGTTTTCCTTTGTGGAATGGGAAACCAGAGCTGGGCAGGCTCATGGCAGATAATTTTCCGGAGCTTTGTATGGTGGTGGCTGGTGTGATTGGAACTCAGGACTCAGGGCAGCTTTGGCAACGAAGAGCTCCCTCAGAAATTTTGATTTTGATGACCTAGCTGGGACAGCGAATTTACAATGTACAGAAAAACCAAAGTCTTGGTTGAACAAAAAGAATCAGCCTAGCTTCGGCTTCATCTTGGACCTGTAGAAACTCTTTTGATTGATCAGTGTGATAAGAAGGCATGCTTAGAGGTTGCCTCATGTAAGGGGCCCATTTCACTGGAATTCTGTCCACCCCTTAGCTGCAGGGGGACGGAAGACCTACTGGATAGGAGGACATATTTGAGCACGTGGAGGGCTAGGTGCCTGCCACTCCGAACTCAGAGCTAACAGCAGGGCAGATCTGGGTCCGGTTTTGTGCATTTCTGACTTTTCTTTTGCTGTACCAGGGATTGAACTGTGGGCCTTGCGCTTGTGAGGTAGGTGCGGTGCCACTGAGCTAAATCCTCAGTCCCTTCGTGCATTTCTTTACATGTTGGCCACGCCATTCTTGTGCCTGTTTCTCAGTCTGTTAAACCCACGTGGAGTTACATGTGCTTGTGAGAAGAAAGTATTTGCCTTGTCTTTCATTTAAGTAATCAGTCATGTGTTCAAAATTTAACTTTTCTGTTAGTGGAGTCTTTCTTTTAAATTAACTTGTCTTATTTTTTGCTAGCCTGCAGATGTTTACCCCCCGCCTTGATTTTGATAATCCAGCTGGCTTAGAGACTTTACAATGTTTAGAAATCAAACCCCTTCAATGATGGCATCTATTGTGCCTTTAGCTTCGTCTTGGAGCTGCAGAAATTCTGGGTTTCTTAGGAATTTCTTAAGGTGAAATTGTAAGGTGCTGATTTTAGACCTTTCTTCTTTTCTAATGTAAATATTTGAAGCTAGACATTTCCCTCTAAGCCCCACTTTGGTTACATCCTACAGAGTGTGATGAAGTGACCATTCGTTTTTGAGGAAACCCAGCTTAGCCATATGGGAGGCTGTGGGAGAGATCAAGACAGTCGAGCTGCCTAGTGGGGCTTGGTGGCAGGTCCCGTGGGCTTGGGACTTCTTCTCCAGGGTCTGCAAGGTGATGTACAGAACAGTGTGACTGTCCTTTGAGATTTGAGCATCAAAAACCATTTCCAGTGTTATCAGAAATTGTCTCCGAGGTCCGGGACGGGCTGTGCTGCCAGCTTTGGAAGCATGTGGATGGTCGGGAGATTTCCATTTCCCCCATGCTAGAATGATAATACTTTGCAGCCATCTACTTCATGTGCGCATTTTGGGGAGGTTTTCCTTGATGATTACTTTAGTCACTTTCCTGTTGCTGGCTCATGGTTTCAAACTATGGCCGGCTGGCTCCAAGGAGGAAACAGCATGGTGGAAGGGCCTGGCGGAGGAGAGCTGCTCACCGCATGGAGTCCAGGAAGTGGAGAGATAAGGGAGGAGCCCTGAAGGAGACAGACCCTTTCGGGCCCAGACCCAGTGATGCCTTCTTCCAACCCACCGCAGCTCCTACCAGCAAGGCTCTAAGCCACTGCCAGAGGTCCTGCCATGACTGCATGAGGCTTAGGGGGACTTCCAGATAGAGCCCATGGCAGTGCCCCAGCTGGTTAGAGGCTCAACAGTGCAGAGAAACCGAACTCCTAAATTGGAGGAGCTTGATATTGGGCTGGGCCTTTTGTGAACAGGTCTCGGGAAGGAATTGCCTTACCTGCCATGGCCTTTCTTTTTGCTTTGTTTGATCAAGGCGGCGGCCAGCACTGACAGTCCCTTGAGGCCCGTTGCCTCGGTTGGCCTCTTGGTTCTACTGTTGATGGGCTTGGCAGGCCCAGACAAGTCCACCGCCTCGTGTATAGGGTAAGAGTTAGGAGCGTTTACGTGCACGGGTTGCCCTGAGAGCCAGGTGGTGTTGGATTTGTGGCAGTGATTGGACCGATGTGCGGCACACGCAGCTTTAGCCGCATGGTGTTGCACTGTTGTGCACACTCAGCCTGGTCTTAGAGCTGTCTGTGTGCTCGGTCCTCCTCCTTTCTGTTCATGCTTGTTAGAAACCTTGCTAACACTCTGCTGTTTCTGTCTTTTTGTATTTGCATGTGTTCGTCGTGCAAAGCCTTGTGGAATCACTGTGCCCGATCCCTGGGCCACAGTGTGAGGGGGCTGCGGCACATGCTTCGCATGGGCGGGATGCTAAGAGCGGAGGGAGGCCCAGACCTTTGGCCAGGATGGTGGTATGCCGCAGGCATCACATGTCACCCTGTGACCTAGAGCACAGTGCGGGTTGCAGGGCACCCGCATGGGGGTGCAGAGATCTGGGTGCCCCATGCAGAGCCTGTGGCGCCTACTTCAGATCCTTCAGGCTGATTCGGACTCTCTGCAGCAGCACCTGTCTCCTTCGGGGCTTGGCTGGCGGGGGGGGGTCCCCTCCTGGCCCTGCTGGGGGTGGTGGCCATGCATGGGGCACGCCCCAAAGTCCTCAGTGCTCTGCACTAGGTAAATGGCCTGGGCACCCGAAGCCCCTGTCCCCCCATTAAGTTGGGGCTCCTGAGCGCTTAGCACCAGAAGCGCAGCGCGCTGCCATTACGGTCACCACCTCCAGTGCTCTTTGGGCAGGCACAGGTGGACTCCATGTCGGTGGTTGTCTGTCTGGTTCCTGCTGAGAGCCATGGGGGTGCCTGAGGGTCCCGCGCTCACTCTGTCACGTGGCAGCCATGAAGGACCTGCAGGGCCACCCACTGCAAGCTGCATGTCCTTGCCTCCCTGTGAGCAGGGCCTTTGGTTTGCTCTTTAACGTCTTGATTTATTTTATTTATTATTAGTTTTTATTTTTTTATTTTTTGGTAACGGGGATTGAACTTGGGACCTTGCACTTTCGAGGCAGGCGGTGGAACCACTGAGCTACATCCCTGGCCCTTCTTGGTTTATTTTAATATGGGGGTCAGAGCTGGGGATGCAACCCAGGGCCTTGGCATGTGCTCGCCCAAGTTGCACCCCAGTCCTTTTAGAAGTTTGTTTCTTCCTTGGAAGTGCATGCCATAAACCCCGAACTCCCTTTCATATAAAAAACTTTTCAATACCGCACATCCCACCCTCCACTGGCAACTTTCCTGTGAAAATGAGAAATCCAAAAGGCTCCAGAGTTGGAAACTTTGGGCACCAACTTAATGGCTTATGTGGAAAATTTTATACTGGGAAAGTTGGTTTTATGCACAAAATGATTTAAAATATCGTTTCTAGTGATCTTCAGGCTGCAGTTGTACAGTGTGTGTGAAACAAAACTTGTGCGTCGGGCGTTAATGCTTTATCAGGCTCTGCGGCATGTCACAGCGGTACCTGTGTGAGGACTGGTATTTGCATACAATTTGTCTCGACTGTTTTTAAACTTGAGTCCCACCATCAAGATGTGAAATTTTTTTTTCTTTTTCTTTCTTTTGGTGCCGGGGATCGAACTCAGGACCTTGCGCTTCCAAGGCAGGCGCGGTGCCACTGAGCTAAATCCCCGGCCCAAGATATGAAAATATTACAAAAAGGTCTGAAACATTTCTGATTGCAGGCATTAGGTACAGGATTCCATCCTGTAGCAACGGTTTCAGGGTCCCTGCCCTGAGAACTCGCGGGACCCGGGGCTGCCCTGGGTGACTGCCTTTTCAGTGTAGCCTCAGGGCCTCCCTGACCTCCTGCCAGGGCCAGGGCCCTCCGGCTGAGGTCTCCCAGGTCTCCTGTGGGTGAGTGGGTCTGGCTGGTGCCGTGGGACTGGGCCCGGCTTGCTGCAGTTTCTGTGCCACCTGGCCCGGG